CGTTAAGCGGCATATCCAGACGATTTTCGGGATCAAGTTGGAAAATTTGTTTAGTGGCATATCGAGACATTTTTCGGGATATACTCAGCGTATAAGACGACCCCAGATTTTCGGTTGACTTTTTTTCGTTTCAAAAGTTGTCGTATACGCCGGAAAATACGGTATCTTAGAATATCCCGGTGGCTCAAGGTAATCAGGGAGGAGAAAGATGCAACCAGGGAGGCAGAGTTAGAGCAGTGCACCTGGTCATCCCTGGCTTTGGAGATGGAGGAAGGATCCATGAGCCAAGAAATGCATCTCTCTAGGTGGAAAGGTAAGGAAACAAGTTCTCCCCTCTAGGCTCCTAAAGAACATGCAGTCCTGTTGACTTTGACTTTAGCTGTGAGATCCATAGGGCTTTTGACTTCCAGAACTATCACAAAATAAATGTATGCTGTTCAGGCTATAGAGTTGTTAGTGACTCATTACAGCAACAATAAGAAACTAATACATGAAGGAAATGAAGAGAAAATGCAGGCAGTGCCAGTGTGGGGAGGGCAGGACAAGAGTGGACTTGATATTCTTGATATTCCCTTTTAAAAAAATTGTATTTATTAAATTGATTGGAGTGACATTATTTCTTTTGACAGATGTGAGTCTGGATTATCTCCTAGGATAGGGCTGTGGCCAAAACAAAACATACTTTTCCTCACTCTAGTGTTTTATATTCTCAGGAAAGCTAAAGTAAATATCAAAGACTCTGTAGGGGGTGGGTCTCTTTCTATTTGTTTAAGTGCATGATTATATGGATTTGGGGCAGTTAATGTGCTATAAGCCTGTGAGCTTATCTGGGAGATGGAAGGAACCATCTTTACTTAGTCCTCACCTTTTGAGCCAGTTCACTGATCCAGCATAGCTTTCTCAGATGACTCTCTTGTGTATCTATAACTCACAAAGCAAAGTAAAGCAATATAGATTTTTCAAGGATGAAAGAAGAAACTGCTCCAGAGCAGAAGGGGTTAACAGCCACACAACAGAACTAGGAGATAAATGATTTATAAAATGGGCCAGAGCAAATGAGTTAGTATAATATTTGCTGATTTGCCTGTCCAGTGCTCAATTAATGCAAGAGCCTGCATTAGTTGAGCACTGGACAGGCAAATCAGCAACAGGACCTGTAATGGTCAACTCATATTTATAAAATAACTAGAGGTCTGGTACATGAAATTTTGCATGGGTGGGGTGAAGGGGTGCCCTGCTTGCACCCTCTAACAATCTGGGAATGCTGGCTCCTAACATGCTGGCCTGCTTGATTCCCCCTAGTCACTCTGCTTGCCTGCCTCATCACCTCTAACCACCTCTGCCACCTGCCTAATTGCCCCTAACCACTCTGCCTACCTGATTTTCACTTATATTACACTTTTATTATTATAAATAGTTGCCTTGCTCCAAGTTGTAAGGACCTGCTTGTCATAAAGATAGAAAAGTTTTAATTTTTACTCTTGATTGTGGCAATTAACTAACAAAGATGGCCACCAAAAAGGTGATTTACCTAAGGGTGTATAGCAAACGGTGCTGTTAAGTCCTCTTCAGTGAAAACGTGCATGTTGTGCATTGTATCTGCCTGGGTACATGAAAGAGTGAAGTTCCTATCTATCATACAATTTGCTCATATGCAGTCATATGAGCAAATTGTATGAAACCCCAGCCCAGTCTAGTTTGGTGCTCACAGAATAATAGAGCTCTTTTTTTTTTTTTTTTTTTTTTTTTTTTTTTTTTCCCTTGGCTCCATTGGTGGAGATTTCCTAGAAGTTGCAGGATATCTTTCTTTTAATTTTTCCTTGGCACTCTGACTTAGGTCTCTCACCTTTGCTTTCCCTCCATTCCCCCAACCACAACAGTAACTTGCTCCAGGCTCACTTTGCTGGAGTATCTAGGAGATCTTGTAATGCGTCTGCCACCAGAACTATGATTCCTAGCATTCCTGTGCACCAGAACCACGAATCCCAGCATTCCTGATGCTCCCCATGCTCTGGCTTCTGCATCCAGTCCAGGGGTCACAGAAATGAAAAGGAAGCAAGCAATGGGGCTCAAAGGACTGGGTACTCTGGTGGGACTGACAGGACCTGACACTCCCTCAGTGGCCAGCTAGGGCATGTGGGAGGCTTGGTTTGCTGGGGTGATGAAGGAAGCCACGCATCCTGCCAGCTCCGGCCAGCTCTGTGGCCACTGCCCAGAGGCCAGCCCTTAGTGGCTGGCCAGGGTGTGCAGGAGGTTTGGCTTCCTTCATTGCCAGGATGACAAAGAAAGCCAAATGTCCCGTCCATTACAGCTTGCTCCTGCCAGCTCCATCACTCCTGCTGGTGCTGCCATCTTTGTGGCTATGGGTGTTGCCATCTTTGTTGCAGAGTGACAGTTAATTTGCATATTGCCCTTTTATTAGTATAGATGGTCAAGCCCACCCAATGTGCCTCAGTGGTTGAGCATCAATCTATGACCCAAGAGATCACTGTTCAATTCCTGGTCAGGGCAGATGCCTGAATTGCAGGCTTGACCCCCCTGTCAATGATTCTCTCTCATCACCGATTCTTCTATCTCTCTCTCCCTTTCCCTTCCTCTTTGAAATCAATATTTTAAAATAATAATGGTCAACTAGTAAGTTACTTGTTCTGAAAGCACAAACCATTTGCAAAACAAATCCCAAAAAAACTAGAGTATAATTTAAATTAATAATTTATAATAGCAATTGAAAATATAAGGTAAGATATTGAAGAAAAAAATCTAAAAATTCCATGACCTTTACTAGAAAATAATAACATTTTATAGAAAGACATAAGACCTAATAAATGAAAAGCTATTCCTTAATAGTACAATAGATGGGATGACCATCTTAAAAATGCCAAATCTCTCTCGAATTATTATATAAGTTCAGTGAAATGAAAATCATTACTTCAGTGACTGCTGTGTGTAACTTTACAGGACAACTCTGAAGTGTGTGCGCAAGAACACAGGGTCAAAATCACCAGGACTATTGGAAATGTCACCTTCTCAGATGTCATTCCTTATCATTAAGCTCTTTCAATAGGACTGTTTGCAATAGGAGCAGGAGACACACAGGCTGGTGGGACAGGACAGCAATGGAACATGCACCCAGGTAATGTTGGTCTCTGATAGTAGTAACACTACAATTCATAGGGCAAGGATAGACTAGTCAATAGGTGGCCATGGGACAACTGATTGTCAATATGAGAAAATAAAATTAGACTCAAATGTGGAAAACAAAACTTTAAAACTCTTAGAGGGAGCCGAAATCGGTTTGGCTCAGTGGATAGAGTGTCGGTCTGTGGACTGAAAGGTCCCAGGTTCGATTCCGGTCAAGGGCATATACATTGGTTGCGGGCACATCCCCAGCAGGGGGTGTGCAGGAGGCAGCTGGTCGGTGCTTCTCTCTCATCGATGTTTCTAGCTCTCTATCCTTCTCCCTTCCTCCCTGTAAAAAAATCAATAAAAAATATTAACAAAAAAAACTCTTAGAGGGAAAAAATATAGGACATATGCATAGGAAATAAAGTCTAAGATATGCACAGAAAATAAAAAGGAAATTGGAAAACTTGCATACAAGAAAAGGTACCATAAACAACATGAAAAAGCCAACCAAAATCTGAGAGAATTATAAATACAGAAAACTAATAAAAGAGTTGTTTCCAGAAAATATTAACTCTACATATCGATTTGAGTCAACCAACCCAATAGGTGAGCAGGCAATTGATATTAACTGAAAATTTACAAAAGAGGGACCTGATAACATGCTCTACGTAGTAACTGAGGAACTGAAGATGAGATGTCATTCCACTATCATCAAATTGGCAAAAAATGTTAAGTGTGACAATATCAAGTGTTAGGATGTGGAGAAACAGGAACTTTTATACTTTCGTGGTAGGAGTGTAAGTAGGTACAAGCATTTTAGAAAACAATCTGTCCAGTGAAACTGAAGGGGTGTACATTCTATGCCCCAGCAACTCCATTCCTAGAAATGTTCCTCAGAGAAACTCAAATATGTGCACAGGAGATCCATAACACCCTCATTTAAATATTGTTTATAGCAGAAACAAAATGTCCATCATTAGGAGACTAGACAGATAAATAGTGATATAGATATTCTGTACTATATGATAGTTAAAAATGAATTAACTAAAGCCTTGAGTATTACTACAGATAGATTTCAAACATAATGTTGAGTAAGAAAAGTTACCTTAAAATACATATCTTTACCTAGCATGCAAAACAATATTATTTCTGTATCTAAATATTATATAAAAACTAAAAGCATGCATGAGAAACACCAAACTCAAACTAATAGTTAGGTCCAGGAAGAAGGGAGGTGAATAGAATGAAGGTGAATGGGAATACACAGAAGGCTGTATCTGTAATGTTTAATTTGTACTTTACCTTAATTGTTTTATAATTTTTATTTATATTTTGTATGCTTGAAAAAATTAAAAACTGCGTCTTCTTTATTTTGCAAACTTTAATTTCAAAACAAAAATTTAAAAACCAACAATACACAACATTCAGACCTAATGTCAAATATGAGAAGAGAAGACTTGAGACCATTATATCCTGCCTTAGCCAAAGACAGGAGAGAAAAAACTACTAAACATCAGTTAGAGGAAACCAGGTGGACGAGGGCCATGCAGGGCTGCTGGGAGAGCCATGAAGACACTACCCAGAGAGTGGTTCTCAACCTTTCCAATGCCGTGACCCTTTAATACAGTTCCTCATGTTGTGGTGACCCCCAACCATAAAATTATTTTCATTGCTACTTCATAATTGTAATTTTGCTACTGTTAATGAATCATAATGTAAATATCTGTGTTTTCCTATGGTCTTAGGTGACTCTGCTAGTGGTTCTCAACCTGTGGGTCATGATCCACAGGTTGAGAACCGCTGCTGAGGAACTGAACAAAAGGGTTTCAGCATTAGAAAGGTTGAGAGCCACTGTCATAGAGGATACAAGGTCTGCAAGTAAACTCTTAATCTACTTCTTCCATGCAAGAGACATTCTCATCACTCTCAGAATCTATCTCATCAGGTACAGCAGCACTGGGTTTTTCTGCTGTCACTTCATCATCATCAATGCCGGGGCCTAACTTGATCATGCAGTAGATGCAGTTGGAGTAGGTCTGATGATCCTCAAGTGAAAAGTCAGAAGAGAGCAGCACAGTTTCAAACAGTAACACCATAAGGTCCTTGACAGCCTTGTCATTCTTGTCTGCCTCCACCTTCTGGTGCAGAGTCTCCACAATGGGTTGGTCAGGGTTGATCTCCAGGTGCTTTTTGGCCATCATGTAGCCCATTATAAAGTTATCCTAAAGTGTCTGGGCTTTCATGATACACTCCATGTTAGCTGTCCAGCCATAGGTGCTAGTCACAATGCAGCAGGGTGGAGACAAAAGCCTATTGGAGACTGTCACTTCTCAACCTTCATATCCAAGATTTCTTTCATGAGTTTGCAGAGGTTCTCAGACTTGGCCTTGATCTTTTCCATTTTCTCTTTCTCCTCTTCATCCTCAGGTTGTGCCAGGCCCTCCTTGATAATTGAGACCAAGCTTTATCATTCAAACACCTTGAGCTGATGCACACAGTATTCATCGATGGGCTCCTTTATATATACTACTTCAAAGCCCCATTTCCAAGTCGCTCCACAAAATCAGAGCTGGCAACTTGCTCTCCTCAGTGATATAATAGGTGGACTTCTATATCTTCTTCATATGAAAGACATATTCTGAAAGAGAAGTCATTTCACCTCCAGACTGGGACGTGTGATAGTGCAAAAGCTCAGAAAGGCATTGCTGACTAGTTGAGTTCTCATGGAGTCCAAGCTTTAGGTTATTAGAGAATGTTTCATAGATTTTCTTATAGTTCTCCTTGTCTTCTGCCAGCTCAGAGCAGAGCTCAAGGCACTTCTTAATATTTTTTATGGCCAAAACCGGTTTGGCTCAATGGATAGAGCATCAGCCTGCGGACTGAAAGGTCCCAGGTTCGATTCCAGTGAAGGGCATGAACCTTAGTTGTGGGCACATCCCCAGTAGGGGGTGTGCAAGAGGCAGCTGATGGATGATTCTCTCTCATCGATGTTTCTAACTCTCTATCCCTCTCTCTTCTCTCTGTAAAAAAATCAATTATATATATATATATATATATATATATATATATATATATATATATATATATTATGAATGACTTTCAAGATTTTACTTTGCTGGAGCATTTCTTGGGAGATGTTCAGAGGCAAGTCCTTAGAGTCAACTACACCACAGATAAAGTTCAGGTACTCTGATATCAACTCATCATAGCTGTCCATTATGAACACACTAGAGGCCTGGTGCACAAATTCATGCACAGGTGGTATCTGGCCAGACCACCCTGATTGGGGCAAATTGGGGCAGGGCCAGCTGGGGGGAGGGATGTGGGATGTGGGAGGTTGACCTGCCAGCCCCACCCCCAATGAGGGGGGGGAATGATTAGGGGCCACAGTGTGAGTCAAAGCAACTGGTTATTCTGGTTGTTCTGACATTCTGGTCACTTGGCTTTTATATGTATAGATGTATAAATAATGAACATAGAGTTTATGTTGTTCTTCTTGTTCTCAAAGAAGTCAAAGGGAGCCCAATGGGGGGTGAATAGCAAAGCCCCAGATTCCAACTGATCTTCTACATAGAAGTGCTTGACTGCCAAGAGGTCCTCCAAGTCATCTGACTTCAGCAATTTCTGCCTGGAATGCAAAAGTCTCCACTTCCTCCTCTCCATGGTTCATCACTTTCTCAGGCATCTTTAAGGTGATGAGATCCAAGTACTAGAAAGCTGGGACTGTATTTGGCTCATAAACTGCTGAAAATTTTTACTTAAAAAAAAAAATCAAACCCTTCTGATGAAGCAAAAAAGTGTAAAGAAGAAAAAAATAATTTTCCTTCTATCCTACCAAGTTCTTCCGCTGGAATAACAATCAAATTAATCATGAGACAGGTTACAGGAGAAATAACCAAATTTGCTGCATATGTATATATAGGGGTTCAATAAGAAGATAGGGGGTCAGAAGACAAATGGGGCAGTTAAGGCTTATTTGCTATCTTGAGCTAAGGAGAAAGGGAATGCGGTATGGGGGGCGCTGTTGTGGTTTGGGACTTCAAAGGAGAGGAAGGCAATTCACATGGAGATGGAAAGCAAATGTTTGCTAAGCAAATGTTTCCTGAGCCAACTTTAACAGTGGGACACAGAGAGGACTTTGATCAAAGGGGTCTTGCTAGGTCCCTCCCTTTTATCACACCTAGTTTATATAAAAATATAGTTATCAATGAAGATGGCTCCCTTACTGGAGCAGGTCCTCTATCTAAATTCTTTTAGGTGGTTAGGGAGGGCAAAGGTTCTTCTTGCCTCTTGTTTCTTAAAATAACAAACTTAAAACAATTGATATCCTCCCAAAGGCATATTTTGAGGTGGCAAACTCTGCTTCTCCCCTCAAGCTATCCTTGATCTTGCCTCTCTAAGGCTGTCTTTGCCAGCCTTTCCAGTCCCCTATCCATCAATCACTCCCCAATGTACCATCATACCAAAGCTTTGTGTGGTTTCCTAAATACAGGAGTCCCTTCCTTATCTGTGGTTTTGCTTTCTGCACTTTTACCCTGATCCAAAAATATTAAATGGAAAATTCCAGAAATAAACAATTCTTATGTTTTAGATTGTGCTCCATTCTGAATAGAGTGATGAATTCTCACACTATCCTGCTCTATCATGTTGTGGTTTCACAGTGCTTGTGTTTAAGGAACACTTATTTTACTTAATAAGGGTTCAAAGTATAAGAGTAGTGATGCCAGCAATTCGGATTTGCCCAAGAGAAACCATAAAATACTCTCTTTAAGTGAAAAGATGTGTATGCACAGGATAAAAAAACAGTATATATAGGTTTTCAGGCATCCACTGGGGTCTTGGAATATATCCCATAGACAAAGGGGAGGAGGGCTACTATAATTTCTCTTCATACTCTATGCCTTTGCTTACGCTATTCCTCTCTCCAATGCCATCTTTAGACCCCACTTGGAAAATTATTTATCCTTTCTGATTCATTTTATGTGTCATCTCTGGTGTTCTTCAAGGCAACACTTCTCAAATTTTAATGTGCAAAGGAGTCATCCTTAGATCTTGTTAAAATGCAAGTTGATGCTGTAGGTCTGGCACAGAGGGTGGGGAGTGGGCATGTACCACATTGCTAACACACTCTGAGGTGATGCCCATGGGCAAGTCTGAGAGCCTGGCCCTCATGAGCCCATCTCCCTCCAGGGCACATGAGCTCCCTGCTCTGGACTCCCACAGCCCCCTCCACATCCCAATTGTTCTGGGTCTGTTTCTCATATCTGCCTTCTTCACAAAACTCTTAAGGATAGTAATCCCACCCTGGACCACATTGTACTGCCCACACCTGGGATTCATTTGCTGAATATGTGAAACATTCCAATGTTAAAAATACAGTTGTCTTTTGTGCCTCCGGTGAAACCTTATTAAATCTGTTAAACATTTCTGCTTAATTATGTTTTATATCCCAGACTGGTAGCAACATGAAAGCAGAGCAGTGAGTGCACATTGTGTGAAGATCAAGTTGAGTAAGCTCCTAATTATAGCGCTCATTTGCTGATGGAACTGGAAATCCTTACATGCCTTCAGATCCCTCCAGGCAGTGAAAGTTGGGAGAGGTAGTTACTTAGTCACAGGGCATCCGTTTTGTTCTAAGCATTAAGATTTAAGGCTTAGGGGAGTTTTGCTACCTCTTCTAAGTAATAGGCCCCCAGAGAACAGGAAGATTAAAGGGCAAAGGAAGGGCTCCCTGGTGATTAACTCCAACTGCTTGGGCAAGGTTCCCATGGGCGGGTGGAGATCCCGCCCTGCTTTCCCTGTGCAGTGGAGGCACCATGGAGCCCAGCTCAGCTCTCAGCAGCCTGCCCCAGTTCCAATTCCGGTGCTGCAATTTGGCAGCTAACACACCTTGAGCAACTCACTTCAGCTTTCTGGGCCTAGGATGCCAAATTCCAAAAAGTATTGCATATTTATACTAAATATAAAAAAGTATGTGCAAAGTATAAGATATTTATACTAAAAATACTCCTTGTTTATATGAAATGCAAATATAATTGGGTGTCTGGTATTTGACAAACTTATCTGGGCCTCTATTTTTAAAATGGAGATTATAACAGTACCAACCTTGTAAGGTTATGAGGAATTTGCTTAGCATAGAACCTGGCTCAGAATAAGTGTTCAATAAGGTAATTTTATTATACTAGTAGCTCCCTCCCAAACACTGTCGTTCATGTCTCTTGCCAGAACCATTACCCTAAGTTCTAACTTGCCACTCTGATTCCAGTTCCTTTTCTCTTCCACCTTCCCTCTGTGTGCTGCTAGAGATATCCCTGGAAAATAGAAATCTGATCATGTAGTTTATATCCTACTTTAAATTTTCTAATGAAAAAACACTAATTTGAAAAGATATATGTACCCCTATGTTCATTGTAGCATTATCTACAATAGCCAAGACATGGAAGCGACCTAGATGTCCATCAATACATGATTGGATAGAGATGTGAAACATATACATAAAAAAGAAAGAAATTCTATCATTTGTGACAACATGGATGGTCATTGAGAGTATTATGCCAAATGAAATAAGTCAGACAGAAAGACAAATGCCATATGACTTTATTCATCAGTGGAATTTTAAAAAATCACACAAATGAACAAACCAAACAAACAGAAACAGACCCGTAGATACAGAGAACAAACTGATAGTTGCCAAAGGGGAGGTGGGAGGATGAGCATTAAAAAAGGAATAGTGGTTTCCTGATACCCATAGGATCAAATCCACACTTCTCAGGCTGGGGTGAACTTTCAGACTTGCACTCCCTTACCTTTCTCATCTCCATTACTGCCACCCTCTCCGCTGTGATTCCCACATCATGCCTATTCCAAGCCTAGGACCCTCTGGGCTCTTTCTTGCCACCTCCCTCCACATGGCATCCCTTTCTCACCTTGGCCTTCTTGATGAATATCCAGTCATTTTGTGGAGCTCTGGTAAAGATCGCCTTCTCTGAAAGCTTCTCTAACCCCCTTACAATGAACCCCACCCTTACCCAGCCCAGCTCCATATGTGGGCTCTCAGAATGCCTCATGCAAACTTGTATCTGTTCTTATCACACTATATTATAATTACTTCATATTTGTCTCTAACGGTATAATATGTGTGTAAATTAATTTTAATTAGTAGTTGAAATATCTTAATGAGGAACTCATACATTAAGAGTGATTAGTGAACATTTTTAAAAACCCTGACAAGTCTCAACAGTCTAGAGGGGGCTGCCCTACTTCAAACATCCTTACTTAATTCTCTACCAAAGGACTTGATCCTTGGATAAGGGATGTAGGCTAGCTTTCATTTAAAGAACGAGCAATGATCAAGCTAGGTTTGTACAATGCGCCAGAAAGACTTAGACAGCCATGCATGTCCTCTCTTGGGAAGAATAGAAACTGAGGTCTAAACCCCACTCATTCCTGGGTTTTTAACTTGCTGGAGTCTTCTACCATTTGGTGTGATTGATTTGATCTATTGTCAGAACACAGTCACATTTGCCTCTGGTCAAACTTTCATGAAAGATGTTTGTTGGAATGTCTGAAAGAACAGAGAGCATGGTGTTTGTACTTGTTAGCAAACAAAAGTTGGCTCACATTTCAGAATGTGGCCTAAGACTTGCTGTCATTATTACATACCACCTGGTAGGGAGATGGTTGGGTGGGAGGCATCTGTATTCCTCCATGCATCTCTAATCACTGGAAGCCACTGTCATCCACCAGAAAGGACCTGATGACCGTGAAACCAAGTTGGTTTAGATCATTTTGTAACACCCTGTCTTTCCAACTAAAATTGAGTTTGAAAGTAGGGACCTATGTTAACGACTTTGTGACTTCAGCTCTCCCACTGCAACTAGCCCAGCATGAGATGTGACAAGACCATTGAAAAAAACAAACAAAACAAAAAAAACTCCAAGCCCTAGCTGGTTTGGCTCAGTGGATAGAGCATGGACCTGTGGACTGAAAAGTCCCTGATTCCATTCCAGTCGAGGGCACATGTCTGGGTTCCTGGCTCAATCTCCAGTAGGGGGCATACAGGAAGCAGCCAATCAATGATTTTCTCTCATCATTGATGTTTCTATCTCTCCCTCTCCCTTTCTCTCAGTAATCAATAAAATAAATATTTTTTTAAAAAAAGAAAAAGCCAAGACCATTTATTACTGCACAGATTTAAAGTGTTGAGAACAAACTCAGATATCTGATAGCACTATAACCAAGTTCAGGGTTGCCCACACTCACCTTGATGGGGAAAAATGTAGCCAAAGTAGATAAAGCTTGCCTTTTTTTCCTGACATTGGCTTTGAGGTTTTCCTTTTAAGTTTGAGATAAAGGAAACTAGTATTTACATTTTGACTAGATCACTTTCAATGTAGTTAGTCTCCATGTTTGTTGATGTAAACATATGCAACAATTGAGTATTTGCTGTTACACAATGAGTGTTTATGAAGTGATTTATTTTTTTTCTGATTATAAAACAAATAAGGCTCCCAACCAAAAATATGAATACCATAAAAGTAGAAAGAAAAAGAAAAATATTATAAGTCACACCCTATAATACCATGACCCTATAATACCAGAGACCAATGACATTAACAAAATAATGAACTTTTTATTTTTTATTTTTACAGTGTAAAAATTTTATATTTAGAATTAGGCAGCTCA